CACACGTACACACACGCACACACAATCACACGCGCAAGCGCGCGCGCACGCCACACACACACACACACACACACACACACACACACGTCTGCTCACCGGCAGCCCCGGATGCGCAGGATCCCTCGTCGGGGTCAGTGGGCATCTGAGGGACGCGGGGAGCAAGCCGAGCCAAGGAAGAGCCGGGGCGCCTAGCCGCCCACCAGCCCGTCCTGCTGCCCGCTGCCGGCTGCCCTTCCCAGCCTGCCACCGGCCTCGGGTTTCCCAGCGGTTGCTGCTCCTTCCTCCCCGGCTCTCCCCGATCGCGATCGTGCGTCCGGTGCAGCCCCCGCCTCCCGCTCCTCCTCTCGAGGCTGCTGTGGCTGGCGTCTTCCTCCCAGGCGCCCCTGGGCAGCGGCTGGGCCGGTTACCTGCGGCGCGCGCGGCCAGAAGCACCCTCCCGGCCAGGCTCCCGGGAGTCAGTGGCCCCCGGCCAGGCTCCGCCCCGGAGCCGCCTCTGCTAGGTCCCGCCCCCGCCCCTGCCTCCCCACCCCCTCCCCGCCTCCTCCTTTTCTTCCTCCTCCTCCTCCCGCGGCTGCCAACGCAGCATCCTGTGGCCGCGGGCAGGTAAAGTGAGGCACCTTCCCAAGAGCGCAGGGTCAGGCTCCGCGGCGGCCGCTGTGGTCGAGGAGCTGAGAAAGGTCCCCTGGACGAAACGGTGCCCCTGCTGGGATGGGCTCCGAGGGGAGACCTGAGAGCCAGGGGAGAGCCAGGGGAGAGCCAGGGCTGCTCCCTGGGTTAAAGCTCAGCCTTGATCCGTCCTGGCAGAAAACAGGAAGCGACCTCACTGGCTCCCAGAGGATGCAAGCTCCTTGTGGCCAGGGCTAGAGAGCTGTCCTCCCGGCCAAGGAGACCTGCCCTGGGTTCCTGCCCTGCTTCTGACACTTGCTGACTGTGTGAGCCCAGGCTTAACGTCTCGGGGCTCCTGGCCACTCTCCAAGACTGGCCATCGCGGAGGAGAGAGCGCCAGGCCGCATCGCCGGAGGCATCTTTCTGTTCCGACATGTATGAACTCCCAGGACCAATCCTATTCCCTGCCCCGTCTTGGCCCCAGCGTATAAGAGCACAACCTCTGCTAAATAAATGCTCGTTAATTAACTGATTAATCGAGCAGGGGACTGGTTAAATGAATTGTGCTTCGCCGATGAAATGGAATCTTACTTTTTTCACTTTAATTTTCAATGAACAAGCATTGATTTTCTCTCTTTCCCACCCCTCCCAATTTAAAAGAAGAAACCAAAATCAAAACCCGGGGAACAAATAAGCATAGTCAAGCAAACACAAAATCTCACCCTGTCTGTGTGGTTCATTCTGTATCTGGGATCTATCACCTCTCAGGAGCTGGAGAGCACGTTCCTTCCTGAGGCCTCTGGGATCTTCCAGTGGTCATTGCACCCGATAAGGGACCTTGAACGGTTCAGAGTTGTTTATATTTGCACCATTGTTGTCCTTGTATACTTCATTGTTCTACTGGTTCTGCTCTTTTCACTTTGCATCAGTTCACACACGTCTTGCTATGTTTTTCTGAAATCATCTCTTTTGTCATTTCTTAACGCAAAATAGTATCCGTTACATTCCTAGACCATAATTTGTCCAGTCATTCCCCAAGCAATATGCACCTCTCTTAGCTGGCAATCCTTTGCCTCCATAAAAAGAGCTCCTAAAATATTTTTGTCCTTACGGCTCCTTTTCCTCTTACTTTGATGTCTTTGGGGGAACATCAGTAATAATATTTATATAGCACTAGGCTCCACTTCACCTCATTTGAATCTCACAAGAAGTTTGAGAAGTAGGTTATCTCCATTTTACAGATGAGGAAACTGAAACTTGGAGGGTTAAGGGGGTTGCCCAGGGTCATGAAGCTAGTCAGTGTTTGCGGCTGGATTTGAATTCAATTCTTCCTGATTCCAGGTTCTAACCACTTAGCCACGTAGTAGTAGTAGTAGTAGTAGTAGTAGTAGTAGTAGTAGTAGTAGTAGTAGTAGTA